TTTTTTTTTTTTTTTTTTTTTTTTTTTTTTTTTTTTTTTTTTTCCCCTGTTCTTCTTTGGTCCTTGGTGCTGTGTTTTCGTTAATTTGTGGGGTGGAGTTGTATTTCTACTGTGGTAAGTTGATTCAGTCCACGGCTGCCTGGGTCTTGCTGCTGTCGGTGTCGGAGTCCCTGCTGTCCTCGCTTGCTGTTGAGGAGTTCAGACCGTATGCACCAGCGCTGCTCTCCGACTTCGTTGGAGGCCCAGCGTCGTCTCCCCCAGGGGAGATCTTGTTGTCCACTTCCTTCTCTACTTCCCCCTCATCCTCCATGTCGGAGTCTTCCCTTCCCAAATCCACGCCGATGGGGGTTGCCTCGTCCTGCAGCGAGGTCTTGGAGGTCGATAGGCGGGTCCTGATGATGTCAGCCAGTGAATCTGCAATGATGTCGGTCGTGCTGAACCTCCCGTTCAGCACGTTGTACGGCAGCATTGTGATTGTGTCCCATGCCCTCCAGGTCAGGCCTTCGCTGAGTTTTGCCCTCTCATTGAGCTTGACCAGGATGGGGTCGAAGGGGGTGAAGATCGGTTTCTCCAGTGTCTTCCCTTCGGCTGTTTGCTCTCGTGGTGGGACCCCATACACCCCCAGCCGGGTCTCCGCTGAGACATTGTCCCTGATGCTCTTTGCCAGGGCTCTGTCGTGTTCGAGGGTGGGGATTGTGAACGCTGCGTCTGTGGCCACCTGCCACTCATTGAATTTGCTCCTGAACCGGACTGGAAGCAGCGGTCTTACCGCCCTGATGGTCCCCCTATCAGTGCTTGCTGATTTGGGAATGCTTGGCACCTTGTTCTCTGCGATCATGCGGACTGTGACAAACTCCTCGCCTTGCTCCCTTTTGTAGTCCTGGTTCTGGTCAAACAGTCTCTTCGTCTGTGCTGCCACAGTTCCAATCTCCTGCGCGAGTCTGCGCTGTTCGTTCTTGCTGCCAGCTTCGTCTTTGGGGGGCCCCCTTGATCTCTTGTCCCTTCCCTTCGATGGTTTCCAGTTTTTGGAAACCATGTCACGGATCGAATCTGCAGATGTCTGGGGGTCGAAGCCTGTGCCATTTTCTGATCCAACAGATTCTCTTTCCCTCTTCTTCTCGAAATATCTGAAAGCGCCGAACTCCGAGAGTTCGGAGTTCATGCGCAACAGGTCGAAAAAGTTCTTGGATTGTGGAATTCCGGCCACTGTTTTTCTAGTGGCTGGTTTCCCTGTCTTTTCCAGATGTTTCATGCATGCCAACCTGATGTCGAACTCCTTTTCCCTTTCATATTTTGCTCTCTGCAGGTAATCTTCAAGCCAGGGAATGGGGCTCGCATTGCGTTGTGAGGTGTCCATACCTGTATCAGTTACCGCAGGTGAGTTCGGATCTGTCCCGGGGGGGGTATCGACAGTGGGGGGGTGCTCAGATGTGAGAGTCTTGCTTGAGCCCTCCTCCGTCGCCCTTCTCTTCTTCCCTGCCCTGTAAAGCGATCCGTTTGAGTGCAGGGGGGATATCTGGTTTGGGGTGGCGGTGTTTGAGAGTCTGTTTCGCTTTCTGCAGCAGGGTGTTGTTATCCAGGTTGGTGTTCTGGCACGTTTTTGATGTTTTGGACCTGATTGTCTCCATATCCCACAACAGATCTTCGTGTTTTTTTCTCTTCTCTGATCGCCCGTGGGTCGATGATCTGATCTTTGTGGATTTTTCCCGGAATACCTATTACTTTCTTTGCTCCCACTGCATGCCATCTGCTATCTGAGGGAGGAAAAATATCTGGCTGTTTCGTTGACGGGTTCGTGTTGTATGTCCAGATCCATTTTGGGTCGTTGATGGTGTCGTCGAAGACCCATCCGTTGTAATCCTGGTCATTGATGAACCAAATTCCCTTTGCCTCTTCGACTTCCACCAGCATGTTCTGTCTCAGTTTTTTCTCTTTGGAGTGTTCGGGGGATCTCGGGCACGCTGGGTCAGTGCCCAGGTGTCCTCTCTCTCTGCACCTGAAGCAGATGGGGGCATCTTTCGTCGAGACAGTGACCGAGGATGCTTCCTCCCCTATGCAGAATTCCCATTCTTCCGGGAATTCGGGATTCGAGCCCGTGTTCACTTCCAAAACAGCTGTGATGGAGTCACAGTGTGGGGCCAGGAATTCTGGAGTTGGAAGTACCCATTTCAACACTTTGTTGTTTGGGTATTCCACTTCCAGTCTGTCCTTGATGAGTGGGTGCCCTCTAATCGGGATGTTATCAAACTGTTTTTGTGCGGTCGCCGGGGAAATCATGGCTTTCTGTGCTGTCACCTGTTTCCAGCGGGAAAGGGAGCAAACTGACCCGTTGCAGTTCAGGGTGGTGTGTTTGTTAATCAGATTGGACGCCCGATCGGCGTCTTTGAAAACCACCATCATCATGTTTTTGCTGAGAACAGAATGGAGAATTTGTCGGTGCTGGACCTGAGATTTTCGTGTCCCTGCACTGTCCTTGTGATCCACTTGCATTTCTCGATTTCTGGTAGGCGGGCACCTGTGTTGGAAAAAGTGAAAACTAGTCCATGTTTCGCGTACATGGCGTTTGTGGATTCAATTTTTTCCTTTGGGTAGCACCAGACTGTAATTTCCTTTTCTTCCCCGTCTTGCTGAACCTTCTTTACTACTTTTTCTCCTTTGATTTGCGGAGATTCCAGTGAAAATCGGAGGGTTTCATGATCGACCAGTGCTCCGTTCGACTGTGGATTCTTATCTGGATTCTTTGTGTTGTTTGCCACTACCGATGAGAAGCGGCGTTGGAATGTGACTGGAGCTGATGTGGCCATCTTGGCCTTGTTGGGGGAGACTTCGACTGCAGTGCTCGACGCTGTGCGTGCTTTTGGTCGCAGGAGAGATAGCAGCGAGCTGGTCACTGGCTAATTCTCAGCCTCGCTGAGCGACACTGTGGCGAGAACACGACCTTGAGAAATTTCGAATGGGTGACAGCTCCTGACTTTGGGCTGTCGTAGCTTGGATGTGATCTGGGTTGGGGGTGGGAGGTGGGGGTGAGGAGGGGGTGTGACTTTTCTGATTTTTATGTTTTTGTCATGGCTACCATCTGGACATCCGGACAGGCGTCCAGACGGTCTGCTGTCCGGTGTCTGGACGCCGGACCGTAGGAGGCCCGTCCGGAAGGGGCCAAACCCCCGAAATTCAAAAAAAAAAAGGGGGCACCCTAGACCTGTTCCTTGGGTCCAGGACGCCCCCTGAAAATGTTTCTATGATTTTTGGGGCCGGTATCGGCCTTACAGGGCGGCCGGACCGACCCCTTTTCTATTTGCATCCTGGGCAGACTGTTGGAGGCAGAGCGCAGTTCCCCAGTGGCAAAGGGAAGAAAGGGCGGATCTAGGCACTTCAGAGTGCTTTCTTGCCCACCCGCTGCCGCCACACACACGCACACACACACACACACACAGGGAGAGGGAGAGAGAGCCCTCGTTACTGTTGTGGACTGGTGCGCACATGCAAGGGGGAGAGAGAGAGAGAGAGAGAGAGAGAGAGAGAGAGAGAGAGAGAGAGAGAGAGAGAGAGAGAGTGAACTCAGACTTCAAACTTTGAACTTTAAATTACGAACTGCTAAAGTCTTGAACTTCATTTAATATTTACCTTTATTCAGGTTTACTGTGGAGTGTTCTTTTTTTGTTTCATCACTTTTTCTTCCCTTGCAGCAGTTGGTGCTTTGCAGTGACTGTGCCAGCACAGTGCATGTCAAGGAATGATCATTCATGCTTGTCATATATGCCAACAGCTATGTCTTCCTGGAACACTTCCCCTTAAGTCACGGTTACACGACGAACTGCATTCAACATGCATAAGAGACCGGCAAGGTTTTTTTTTTTTTCAATCCGGACCGATCCGGACATGATCATCCGGAACGATCCGGACATGATCATCCGGACCATCCAGACTGATCCGGACCATGTCCGGACGGTCCGGATCATATCCGGACCAACTGGTTGTCTGGGTCCAGATCGATCCGATGTCCGGGTCCACGGTAGCCATGGTTTTTGTTCGGCTTCTCTTTTTAATTTCCTTTTGGAGGTGTATTGGCGTTGGTGAGGTTACTTGGGGCGACTGGTTTTTGCTTTCCTACGTTTGATTGGGGTTGGTGAGTGTTTTTTTTTTTGTTTCCCTATGTTTCGAGTGTGCGATCTACTGCAGTGATCGCGGCGGCGGCGGCTAGCGGCTGCATGCGCGTGAACTACGT